TTCAGCAGGTCAGAAGTCCGAAATGAGTCCTGCAGGGCTAAAAGCAAGGTATTGACAGGGCTAAGTTCCTTCTGGAGGCTCCAGGGAAGAATCATTTTCCTCAATCTTTCCAGTTTCTAGAAGCACTTCTTGGCTGCGGGTCCCTCCCTCCATCTTCAAAACACAGTGCTCCAATCTCTACTTCCATTATCACACCTCCTGTTTCTGACTTTGTCCCTCTTGCCTCATATCTGATTACACTGGGCCTACCGAGATAATCTTCACATCTCAAAATCTTTCATCTCCGCCTGCAAAGTCCTTCTGTCATGTAAATTAGCAAATTCACAAATTCCAGGGATTAGGAGATAGACATTTGGGGTGGGGGCATTATTCTGCCTATCACACCTTCCCAACCTCAAAACGCATTTCACCATCCATTTGCCTCCATTTATGTACATAGAATGTTTATCGTTATAAATTGAGGAATAGTGAGGAGGGTTTTTTTGTTTGTTTGTTTGTTTGTTTGTTTGTGGGAGGAGAGAAAGTTAAAAGCAGGAAGAGAGAACAAAAGGTTCTGTGATGTCTAGTCTAGTTCTGCCTGAAGAACTGGACTTGAGACCAGCTGGATAGGTAGTAATGGAAAGAAATGGATGGAACCATTTAAGAATGACTATGTGGCTCTGGGCACGTACAGGGCTACTTTAGGATCAGGGAAAAATGTGGTTCAGAGTTACTTGTTTTTGCCAAGAACCCAGCAGACTTCCGATGTACCAGGAAAGGAAGCAATGAAGCATCTGGGAGTAGCAGCGTCACATGGGAATGCTTATTCTTATGGTAGCAGTAGTAGAGGTTGTGCATGAGAGAGAGCTGGTGAGAGAAAGGGACATGTGAATGCCACAGATGGACTGTAGATGACCGTGGGCACAATGATGCCACATTTAGAGGCTTTCAGAAAGTCTTCTTACGAAAAGAATAGAGACCTTAGAGGCAGAACAAACGTGTGTGTGTGTGTGTTCCACCTAACAATATATTACAAACATGTTTTTTTATACAAGTTATTTCTTTCTATGATTTATGGAACTTCCAAGTATTCTATGTTTGAAGATGTACCAATATTTGTTCAATTACTCTTCCCTTGCTGGTGTTTCCAATTTTTTCTCTATTTTAAACCATAGTATAATGAATCTTCTTGAAACTTTCACAAATCCATAAATAGTTTCTTAGGATAAAACTTACCTGAAAGTAGAATTGCTGGATCTAAAGGGTATGGGAGTCATTCTGAAGCTTTTTTAAAGTATGAGGTACAGTTTCCTTATCTGTAAAATGAAAGGATAAGATGAAATTGGTGACTTGCAAGCTTTTTTTTTTTCTGTTCTTTTTAGCCAGTAGACTCTTCCAGCAGAAACCTGGAAGGTAAGTAGATCAGAGATGAACCCACTCCAATGGAATGGGCCTGGGCTGGTCTGTTTCTGCCTCCCCATCCCCTCAGCTACCAGGGGCTCTGAGGAACCTCCAGGTCTCTAAGGCACACACTTTGCAAACCAAGGGCGAGGTGACCTCATATTCTTTTCTACTGACATCTTTGCTATCAGGCTCTTTGATTGAATTGCTAGGTGTCTAGACGGGTCTGAGATCATATCACTGGGTCCCCATGGTGCCTGCTCCCTAAATGGTCAGTAGACACTTGTTAATCTTAGATAGCAGCCATTTCACAACAGGTCAGAAGCAGGGGATCCTGCTGGCCAAGTCGAAAGGGAAGAAACGGAGCTACACCCGCTTGAGGGAGATGACTCTGGAGCCTGGATATGACAGATAAATTGGGGGAATTCCTGTGACTCAGAACTTGGGGAATATAGACAGTGTATAATAAAAATATAATTTTAGCTATATAGGTAACTTTGGGAATATCAGATCCAACTTCCTCTTTTTGTAGATGAGAACCAGAGAAGGTAAGTGTCTCATCCCAGGGCACACAGTAACTTAGTGGCATAATCAGGCATCCTGAAAACTACACAAATGCTATTTTGTTTTTACTGCATTTGAAGCTTCCCTCCCGCCCCCCTATAAAGGTAAAAGGATAGAAGGGAGGAAGAAATTAATATTTAAAACTCCAATTATGTGCCAAGCAACAATCTAAGTACCTTCGTCATACTTTGTTCACTCAGTCAGGATGGGCATTGTGGTGTCCTGCACATGAGGTCTTTGCCTTGCAAGTTTAGTCCTGGGTCCAGAGGCCCCAGCAGTGAGTGACAATGGTGCGACTGGAACTCAGTCTCTGACTCCAAACACCATCCTTCCCCAACTTGGATATACCGTATTAACCTAGAGAGTTACCTGTTGCCTAACTATCATATTGCGGAGGAATTTGGGAAGTTATTTTGAGATGAAACAAGGTAAAACATGATGAACAAGAACCTGACAATAGACAAGATTCTAGATATAAATACATCAATTCAATTTAAACACATCAATTTAGGAACAGAACATGACCTGAAACCTTGCCCAGAACTCGTCCTTAGAGGTCCTTTCTTGGCATGAAAGTTAGTGCTACAGGAAGTGATGTGAAATATAAAGAGAAACTCTCTTTCTCATGTCAGATTCCTCTGGGAAATACCATCTAGGATTCAACAGTCTACTGTCCTCTGCGAGAAACTCAGGGAACTCTTCATAAGAATGTGAGGTTTAGATCCAAATTTCTAGTCATTCAGGAGACTTGGGCACCCAAACTGAAGAGGTGTAGTCCTTGGGGAGATAAGGGGCTGAGGGAGACGGGGATACGTACATAGTTATCTTGAGTTTGAACTCTAGCACTACCTTTCCTCCAACCTAGACCTACAAGAGATCTTGCCATGCTTTGGCGGGGAAATTCCAGGCCTTCCACCAATATCTTGGAAGTTTACGATGCTCTACATTGGGGCTCATTTACAGTAGTTACAAGAGAACATTAGGAAAATTCTAGAGTCTACCAGTGGGATTGGGTTTCCTTTGAACAAAAGTTTTATGACTCATGAAGTCTGCTATAATGCAGCTCATAAGCCCAAGGTTAAACAACCTTCAGAGTCTCTCCTAAAGTCAAATGTGCCTGCAGCTCTGCTGTGCTTCTCTCTCTTGTTGCTCAAGTCACATAAGAGTAGCTTTTTATTCTTGCAAATTACAAGCTGCTACACCAATCTGGCATGCTCTCCACTGCCTCCCCAAACTCACACCTCCCCCGAGCCCAGCTCCTGCTGCCTCTCTGACAGCATCACCCCTACTCTCCCCTGCACTCAGCACATTGGTTATTTCTTCCCTCTATTATTCTACTGAGATTGTCGCTAGCTGCTATATTGTACTGTTCTCTAATTTTTCATTTGTGTGAATCTCATTGAACTCAAAATTTACACATTTCTTGAGATTAAAGAAGAGATGGGGTGATGGAATGGACTACCATTTTAGTGCGGTAAACCTGAGAGAATGGGTATATAAGAGTTGGGCTTTGAAGTCAGACAGCTTAAGTTTAAATGCAGACTCCGCCTTGGTCAAGTTACTTAACTTAGCTGTGCTATAGTCACCTCATCTGTAACATGGGCATAATAATAGTGCCTACCTCACAGGGTACCAATTAAATCAGAGAGTCCCTGTAAATTGTCATTCCAAAAAGTCACCTGCTATTATTATCCCCATGTGCCAGGCACTGAGTGGGCCATTTTAACCCACAATCTCATCTATTCACCACAAGAATTTGGTGGGGTGGTGTAATAAACACTATCTGTTGCCTACTCTCCAGCCAGCTACTGCTTCCTCCTTGTCTGCAAAGTCCTGCTGTAGTGTTTAATTGTTTGTCCTCCTATCATCCTGTTCTTAGGGAAGTAATTTTGTTCTCAGCCCAGGGGTAAGTGTTGAATAGTTTAAACCAATTATGGTATTCAACACCAGCCACTGGTTCAGAGGTGGTCATGTGACCCCATTTAAGCATGAGGGGAAGCCTGGCTGAGTGGGGGTAGAGGGTCGGGGAAGATTTCCTCATTGATGAAAAAGAGACACACAGGAAAAGAGATCCTTCTTCCTTACTCTGGACTTTGTGCTGTCTGGATGTTTGCCTGGAATTTCTACAGCTGTTAAGGAAGCCAACGCAGAGGGATGAGGTCAGAGCCAAGCAAAGCAGATACAGGTAGGTACCCTGGTTCCTGGCATAACTGTGCACTCGCTATTATATGAAATGGGACTTCCCATAATTGTTAAAGCTCTCGAGTCATGCTTTTTCTATAACTTACACCTAAAGAAAGCACACTCCCTATGTCCCAGAAGAGGAAACTGAACTTCAAAGAGATTTGCATTATTTACTCCAATTCAGACAGACAGCAAGGGGCCATTCAGAGCAGTCTCATATGTCACCTGTGGTTTCTAGTGCCCAGGACATCATAGGACACACACTTGTTGTTTAATAAGTAGGCAGCATCTCAGAGACTCATGATGTTTACCAATCTGTGCTACCTCTGGTTTGTTTAAGAGTTCTGTAGCAAGGAACAATGTAAAATGACATGTTCCAGCAGTTTTAATGACTTTCCAACACAGTGTGCATTGTGAGTCTCATGAGTTCTCTTAAAAGCAAGAAGAGTAATTATCTAAAGGGATTCTCATTTCTAGGGCATACTTCAACACACTCAGCCCTGTCGTAAGTAACGCTTGCTCTTTGTTTAAATGACAGACTTTGGTTTGGTAGTTACCACTTCTTAATGTCATCTTTTTTAAAAAAGACAAGATTCATGCTATAAATGCTAAGGAAATCTAGTTCTCTCTTTCTGCAACACGTTGTGCTGAATTAATCTTAGCTTCACTCTAAGAGAGTCCCTTAACCGGGGATCTGGGAGGAAAGCTGGGGTGGGCTATATAAGAACAAGATCCAATTGAGGTGAGAGGGGGATATCTCAGATTTCATATTTGAGGAGCCTGTGTAGGTTTTAGTAGATGCCTCTCTAATTTTTGTCAGAGGATGGAATATAAAATGCACCTTTAATTCTACCAAAAGCTAACCAAGGGAAAAGTAACTTACAATGATATACACCATAGTCCAGAGGCACGATTGGGTTCCTGCCTCATAGGGTTCTGCACTAGCTCAGTTCTCACTGAACCTGAAACTGGGAAGAACTTCAAGGACAGTGACCTTGACTGATATGGGCAAGTGAAAGAGTTAAGGGCCAATGGGCTAAGATTGTAGCTGGGCAATTGCCTCTCAGGGTTACACCTATGATAACTAAATTAATTGCTAAACCCTCCTCCTCTCTGAAGGAATAATCATAGGAGAGAAACCAATAATAATAAGGGTGACAGTTAATACTGAGCATTTATCACATACCAGGCTCTGTTTTAAATTCTTTACCTAGGTATTATTTGATTTCTCACAACTCAAACTGTTAGTTAAACCGTCACAATTTGCATTAATTAGTGTATCTTTCACCACAATAATAGTAAATGCTATTATTATAGATGAGAATACTGAGGCATAAAGAGGTTAAGTAACTTGGCCAGGGATTCAAAGCTAGGAAATGGCAAAGTCAGAATTTAAATCTCAGTATTCTAGGTCCAGAATCCAGCTCTAATCATCACCCTCTAGTGAGTTAATAGTCAAAACAGCTCATGAGAAAGAACAGATGGTTTGAAAATGGTAAACAGATGGTGAAGAGCAGAACACTTTTACCAAGCTGCTTTCGCTTCTCTACATTAGCTGAGCCTCAGAGGCAGTGGGCACGATGGGGAGAGCCTGCAGGTAGGGATACCTGAGCCCAGTTCTGATGCTGCCATGACTGGTTTTTAAGGCCTGTGGAAGATAAGCAACATGCCCCCTATCTTCTTGATATTTGTACTAAAATGTAATGACTTAAAAACTTTAAAGTTCTTACAAATCACCAAGTAATTCAGAATTATTTAGGAGCAGAGAACAGGAATCTGCATTTCTGACAAGCTCTCCAAGGTGATTCTAATGCAGGTGGTCTTGGGACCATGCTTGGAAACCAGCTGATCCTTGGAGCTCCTTTCTGTCTCTTATTTAATGACACAAGTCTACTTGCCCTGGTGGTGGTGTTTCTGGTCTGCTTTCATCTGTAGTGAAGAGCAGGGACATGAGAGAAGCAAGGTGTGGGGAGGCGGGCAGTTAGTTGTGTGATGGTGGGCCAGGTACTGCTCACGCCTCTGATCCTTTTCTTCTGTAAAGTAGGATGAAGGAGACCAGAAACGGGCATGGAATGGAATAGCTCCTCAGTAATGTCGGTGCCCACCCTCTGATCATGATAGCCACGTTCTGGTCTATGTTGTCATGTTTGAGCTAATAACATTACAG